AGTACCAAGGTTTACGAGGGACAAAAATGATCTTGGACGTGCAACGCTTATTATACTATGACATATTGTAGTTTTCTTCCTTTCGGTAATTTCTTTCGTCCTTTGATGTTTCTCGGGAGTTTGTCTATTGGAAGTAGGCTGTATGATTTCAGTTATCAAGACATTCAGGTTCAGCTCCCCCTTTGCAAATATCTTCAGTGGTTGGATCCTGACAATAGTCGTAGATTTTCGACTTGATTTTCTGTCGAATAATGGATGCTGCAGTTACTTGCATTTCTTTTCCCCAGTAAAACTGCAAAATTCAAGCTCTTAGCATAGCGCTGCAAAAGTTTCCTTTTCAAGTGCATGTCAGTATATCGCTCAAATTCGAGACTCAGTTGAAGGAACATATGTAATTCTTGAAAATCGTACTGACCTTCATCATTTTCTTCCGAATATCCACACAGCTTTTCAAAAGCGTCTTCTCTTTTGGCATCAGCGCTTGACCCACCCTTACTTGTTGCTGCGCCTTTTTGGGACTGTGATGATCCTGGTTTTTGAAATGTCTGGTAACAATGCCAATGGTATCTTCCATCAGAACTGATAAGGTCTACACCCTGAGAGAGCCTCACACGTACCTCATCTCCCCACTTGTCACGCCTGTTATTTGCTTCTGTTCTTATACTTTCAATCAGTTCAAGTTTCTGTACTACACTCCACTTTTCTTGAGCTGACTGCATTTAGATACATCTACACATAAGTTTTTAAAGTCAAATGATACACGGCGAATCTTTGCTGGGGGTTCCTTTTCTTGTTGAGGTGGCTTTGGACGTAATATATGTTTGTCGAGACTTTCGATGTACTTAAAGCAGGAACTGTCTTTAACACCATCTTTACGAATTTCACTGCATTGAATTATTTTGTCCATTGCCTTTCTGGTTAAATTAATTAATTCACCACCCTTGTTCTTACAAGGTTTCAACACACACTCCATAATTCACACACTTTCAAGTAATTATGGCATCGTCCGCACAGTACTCTAACGAAGAACAATGAAAAATGACAGCAGAACTTTACTAGAAATAACTATATACTTATGTACCAAAGAGGATTAAAGCAACGTACAAAGATGAAACAATCGTCGAGTACGAGAGCAATATATCTGCCCTTTTGAAGTGGGTTTTTTACTCGTACACATCTGCATGCACGATTCTGCCCAAAAGCTTTTCAGCACTGTGCACTTTTTGTCTGTTGTAAATTCACATAACTAAGATTCACTTTATATTTGGGATCAAGTACCAATTGCTCAATGTCAATTTTCTTTCTGCCTATTTAATTTAATTACGGTTGATATCTTCGTTTATTTTGTCTTAGCGTCATTTTTAGTGTGAATTAAAGTACTGCTACCTTA